GGTGATCTACATGACCCCTTTCAAAACACTATTATGTTATACAAACACCTTCACAGGCAGCAGCCACATCGCATCGCTCACCATCTACCGCTCTCGTAAAAAAAAGCGACCACCGTGCAATCTCATTCGCCCTCTCGATCATTCTCTTATGTACAAAAACACACGCTCATACTCTGCGCTTCCCGCCTGACTCTACCTCAGCGCCTCGTTCGAAAAACACCGGAATGTCGAGGGCAACAACCGGACCGACATGTCCCGGAGAGAAAAGCACATTTTCCCGGTAGGTCTCCTCTACCCGTTCTTTCTATCTTCCTCTCCTCTGCTCGTGCTACCGTTTCCTCTCTCGCCAAAGCAGCAGCCCCACTCCAGGTTCACCAGTTTCCGGGGTCCCACTAACCCGCAATTTATACTCTGGTACATGCACAGGCATACGACCGAATGTGGGCTGGTGCCTTCGTTACCGCTCAACCCGTGGCTGCAGTCTAGGATCTAAGAGATCGAGCTTGAAAATTCCGGAAAATCACAACAAGTGTCGAGCCCCGACAGCGACCAACCTCACGCTAAATGAGATCCCTTTTTGGGGGCTCTGCCATGATGGCCAACTCTCACGCCACATCATCACGTGAGCAGCAGCAGCAGCAGCAGCAGCAGCAGCAACAACAACAACAAAAGCACATAGCGTTAGCTACCTCAGCACAACCCCCATGAGCCCCAGAACGAGCGCAAGCGGTCCGAGCGTCTGTTCGATGGCCGACGAAAGCCTCTCCTTAGAGTACGAGGAGCGACCCACGAGGAAAAGGTTGACGTAGAGCGGCAGCACGAACAGCGCGGACAGGGCCGCCGCCGCCGGCCTTTCCGGGTCCGCTGTTCCTGATCACGATGGGTTAGAAAGGGGGGGGGTTATTTTGATGTGAGAGGATCTTGATGCGAGAGGGAGGGGGGTGATGGGGGAAGGGTCGCAGGGTTCGTGGTTCCTGACCATGACAGGGTAGAAGGAGGGGTTGTTGCCACGTGAGAAGAGGGGGGCGGGGGGCGCGGGGGGGGGGGGGGGGGGCCCCCCCCCCCCCCTGGGGTTTCCGGCCCTTTTGGGGTAAAAAAGGGGGGGTTTTATTTTTTTTTAAAGGGGGGGGAATTGAGGGGGGGGCCCCCAAAACAAAGGGTTCCCACCCAAAAGGGGTTTAGGGGGGGGGTTTTTTTTCCTGGAAGGGGGGGGGGGAGGGGTCCCAAAACCAAGGTTTCTGGAACCCAATTGGACCAAGGGGGGTTCTATCTTCTTTTAAAGGGGGGGGGGGGGGGGGAAAACCCCCCCTCCCCAAAACCCTTTGAAAAAAGAAAAC